TGTCACTTCCTATTTCTGATGTCATTTCCCATTACAAAGAAAATAACACAATCATCATCTTGTGGAGCTAGCTTTTCAAAATGGCCACTGTATCTAGGCAACCATCCAAATGTCATAGCTGCCAAGTGCCATGTTACACTTTGTTACTTGTTTATTTGTTGCTAGGCAACTTCACAGTTAGTTAATGGTATTAAAGGGGAAGCCGAAACTGCTGACGACGGTGATCAACAGAAGAAACTTTTAGGGGCAGCTAAGATGTTGGCTGATGCTACAGCGAGAATGGTAGAGGCAGCAAAGGTAAAATAAGTTTAAATCTATAGCCAGTAGTTCTACAGTCAGTAGTTCTACAGTCAGTAGTTCTACAACAGACTGCTAGAAATTTTCATATAATCCGTGGAATTGTTTTATCAGAGTCTGTAAGCATTGCCAAATATTTGTCAAAAAATATTAAACAAGCAACATGAAAATGAAAGCTTAATTTATCACTATTTCAGTCATTTTTTTCTTTTGCAGTTTGCAATTTGATTATGTCAGTCAAAAGAGACATTCAGTCTCTGGAACTCATAACTGACACAAACATTTGAAAAAAAGTTCAAGTTCACCATTTTTTTTTTTATTTCATTCTTTGTCAGGCGTGTGCCGGGAATCCAAATGATCCCGTCCAACAGCAAAAACTACGCGAAGCAGCAGAAGATTTACGAGCCGCAACAGACATTGCCGCCAGCAACGCATTGAAGAAGAAACTTATTGGTAGACTTGAGGTAACTATACAATGAATGAGTTTGTCCATTTTTGAAAAAAAATATAGTTGTCCATGTTTGTTTATTGTTTATTTACTAGTGAGACCATTCTTTTTTACTCGAAGATGTGAAGTTGCAGTTATCGGCCATGTATGTTTATAGTTTCTACCTGTGAGGGCGCCCTTTATTATTATAATACTGTAAAATACCTTATTTTTGTTTGGAATTAATTTTCGTTGAAGGTATAATTTACCCTTTTCCCATCTTTTACATTCAACTCGTCAAAAATCAGTGAAAATAAATTCCATACAAAACACCCGAAAAGTCATTTCAGCAAAAAATTATTTCAGCTAAGATAAAGTAATTCACAGTACATAATTATTTGGTTGTTTTATAGTAATAGTAATAAGGGCATTAGGGCAACTTAGTTGACAATCATAATTTGTTATACCATTGTCCTTGGGCCCTAATCAAGGTTGTCAGTCGTTATTTGTCATGTAGTTTGGAACCTTGTTTCCATAGAAACTATCTTTTGAATTTACTTCCAATCAGACTCTCACTCTCTCTCACATTTTATTTTTGGTTGTTGGATACATGTAAAATTTAATAACCTTTGAATGTTCATTTTGTCTCTTGCAGCATGTAGCTAAACAGGCTGCCGCTATTGCAACTCAGACTATAGCAGCTGCACAAGGTGCTGGAGCATCCAATAGAAATCAAGCTACTCAACAACAACTTGTTCAAGAATGTAAGGTAAATGTAACTCACATTTTGATTGGCTAACACATATCTCCTGAGAGATAAACTTTGAATTATGTAGATTGTAAGGTAATAATAATACTTACTTTGATTGGCTAATGCAAATCTCCTGAGAAATGACCTCTGATTGATTCATATCGATGTAACATTCATTTTGATTGGCTAATGCTAATGCAAAATCACCCACAAAATGGATCCTGTGAGGGAGCACACTGTCGACCATGATTTATTTCATTGTCTGTAGTTTGTGTAATTGTTATTTTGGTTGCTTTCAGACTGTTGCCGAGCACATCCCTAAGTTAGTGACCGGAGTCAGAGGGTGTATGTCTAATCCGAATAATCCTAGCGCACAACTTAATTTGATAAATGCAAGTCAGAATTTCATCGCCCCTGGAGCCAGAATGGTGGCCGCTTCCAAGATGGCGATGTCTACGGTCGGTGATCAGGCGTCTGCTTTACAGCTTGGCAACAGTGCTAAGCACATGGCAACTATTCTGTCAGAATTGAGATCGGTGGCCGGCAAGGTAAGTTTTGTTAGCTCTGCTGTCGACCTTGTCGAGCCGAGCTTATCATATGAGTGATTGTCCGTCGGTGTTAGTCCCTCGTCGCCGTTGTCCGTGTCAATGTTTTACTTTTTCAACTTCTTCTTGAAAACTACAAGCCTGAATGCTTTGATACTTGGTGTATATTTACATTGGGTAGACCTCTCTTAGGTTTGTTCATTTCATGATGACATCTTCAATTCTCTATTTCGATGAATATTTTTGTAATTTTTGGTAAAAAGTGATATTTTCAAATTCTTGTTGAAAACTTGATTGCTTTGATATTATATTTATAAGTACTACATGTGGACTCCGCTCCTGATTTGTTCATTTTCTAATAATATCTTCTGTTCTTTAATTGAAATGTGCATTGCAAACCTAACAGTGGAACTATCTCAGCCGACAGACTGCTTGTTCATATTTCAAGATAGAAATCTGTGTTTAAGAGTAATTTGAAGTTATCACACGAATATCGGAATGTGTGCATGATGCCAATCATCATACCAACTGACACATAACAGATGTTGATATTAATTGGAAACCTGTCCTGCCTGGGATTTGTCTTGCTTTTAGTTATAATTTAATGATGGATAACAGCCTAAAATGAAAACAAAAATGTTTCACACTGTGCAAACTTTTGTGTTTTACGACCCAGGACTTCATTGACCTCTAGAAATGTATTTTTGCTCCTCGGGTCTCAAGTTGGATGGATCTTTTTTCACAAGACACTGCGAACGACCACTTAATGCTATATCGCTATCACAAAAGAGAGTGTTTTAAATGAGTTTACTCTAAATCAAAAACAAAAATTGATAACAAGTGCTGATACGTCTTTTTATGGTAAATGCTGTTGTTTTTGTGCTAGATGTATTAAAATTGTTTCCTCTTTTGGAAGATAACAAAATAAAACAACAATGACAAGACAGAGGCTAAATGTACATTTATGCAAATGAACTGAATATGCATAATTGACTGATGTGACTCATGAAGCATGTATACGTATATGAAAAACAGTCAAGAAGAGATAGTAGAAATTTAGTTAGCTGTTGTACAAATATTTATGCAAATCAACTCATTAATATGCATACTTGTACTGTAGAGATTCTGATTCAGCTCATGAAGCATGTATACGTGTATGAAAAACAGTCAAGATGAGACTGAGGAGAAATTTAGTCAGCTGTTGTACAAATATTGATGCAAATTAAGATGACCATTTTTTTTGAATACATTAAAAGGGTTAAATAAAGATAAAAATGAGTAAGCCAAATATTTATGCAAATCAACTCATTAATATGCATACTGTAGAGATTGAAATTGCCAAGGATACATTTACAGAATTTGAATCATTATTAATAATAAATATAATGTAATGTAATTGATTTCTTTAATAGGAAATTATAAGCAAATTTGTTCAATAATGCTAATTTGTTCATTAATATTCATCTTATTTTTGGCTAGGCACAAGAAGCCTGTGGGTCATTGGAAATTGACAGTGCCTTGGACACAATAAGAGGGTTAGACCAAGAACTGGGAAAAATAAAAGAAACCGCCAAAGAAGGAAAACTTCTACCACTCCCAGGAGAAAATGTAAGTGTAAAATTTAATTACCGAAATATGAAATAAAAGGGAACATTATGGCAATGATAACAAATTTATCGTTTGCAATATTTATAATGTTGAATATTTTTGTGGTAACAATAATTGGAATTTTGATATGATTGTCATCAAGTTTTATTACTATTATGAAAACAGTTGTCAGAGTTTGATTTTGGTGTCAAGCAAGATTTAGAAGGTAATTTGAAATGGTGTTCCATTACTGCCATTCAAGTATACCTGTATTTTACATTGTATTAAAAAATATTAGGTTTTATATTTTCTATTTCAAAACTTAGAAGTATCAACTACATGTAGCTTGCATGAACACTAAACTGGATTTCAGGCCTCAATCTAGATTTGTTTTCAATAGAAATAGAAATGCCATTCCCTGTAGCAACGGTGGCTATTTTGTGACCAAGGTTATCACAAAATGGCCGCTGTTGCTATGGAGAAAGGCTTTGTAATAGTTGATGAGGACCTTGAATTATTTATGAAATGATTGTGGGCTTGAGGTGCGGCAGAACTGGAATTAACAAATTTGCACAGGAAAAAAATCATTATAAAAAAAAATTTCAAGAAAAAAAACTCACATACTGTAAAATACTTTATTTTAACTGGAATTAATTTGGGTGTTTCATTTAATTTAAATGATTTTTGATGAGTTGAATGTAAAACATAAGAAAAAATGTAGATTTGCTGAATTTTATTTACACTGAATCATCTCTTTAGCAAAAATAAATTCCAAGTGGAAATAAACTATTTCACAATAGTGGAAATAAAAAAATTACAGTAAATTTAACAAAGTAAACAAATAATTTGACTAGTTTTTCTGCCCCTCTTAAAGTTACAATTGGTCCATCCCTCACCGTATCTCTCATTATATTTTACCTCACCAGGCTGATACAAGTGCCTTACAACTCGGTGCTACATCCAAGATGGTGGGTTCATCCATGGCTCAGTTACTGACTGCAGCCGCTCAGGGCAACGAAAATTACACTGGAATCGCAGCACGGGATACCGCACAAGCCTTAACTGCTCTGACGAACTCAGTACGTGGAGTTGCAGCCACAACTAACGATTCTAATGCACAAGAATTGTTGATTGATTGCGCCCGTGATGTGATGGATAAGTCTCAGTGCTTGATGGAGGAAGTGAAGAATGCCTTAGCCAATCCTAATCACCCAGATAACCAGCAGAAATTAGCTCAGGTTAGCATTTATATTTGTTATATTTGCCATGGCCATGCACCCCCTTACCCTGGGGAGCAGATCCCCTGGCAACCGTAAAATTCTGATTGACCAGGGATCACATGTAGCCACAGTCTTCAACTGTGACTTGTCCAATAGTAATTTTTGCCCCAAGGAAGCCATAGAATGTGCGGTATTTAAAAGGGAGCGTATGTATGATTTTGTGATAAAATATGTGCAACCTTAATTTGCATGAGACTTGCAGTTTTACAAAAATGTGTACTATTTTTTCAAAAGCAGATAAAAGATATGGGTTTGAAACATGCATGATGTGCTGGAATAGGTGCCTTTTCATTCAACTACGAGATCTCACGAGTTGTGCTAAAGTCACGCACTAAACGATTTGATTTTGAACTCGAATTTCTTTATTTCATAGCTCACATCAAAAGGCTCATCTTTGACAGGGGAATATTGCGTTTGAATACCCTCACTTCATTGAACTTGACCATCATCAAATGTGTACAGCATATTACTAAGCATGGAAATATCCCCCGAAATACTTTCGCATTTGTCGAATCGCACAAGACGTTTGTCGCCTCTACAGTGCTTTGTTTGTCCTGTTTTTTTTACGTAAGATTTCATGCATCATGCGGGATCTCGAAGTGAAATAAAATGGACCAAAAATGTGTGGCAAATATGTTTACAGCCATTTACACTAGATACGTTTCATTCATTGTGGTTTATGAACTGATTTAGGTGTTTCTTTGTTTGTTAATCTTTGCTTCACAGGTTGCTAAGGCAGTGTCCAACGCTTTGAATAATACGGTGAATTGTTTGCCAGGACAACGAGACGTGGATAAAGCTATCAAAACCGTTGCGGACGCTAGCAAGACTTTAATGACAGGCAAGGTACGTTGAGGGCGCTGTGCTACAGCCAGCCTTCCCACAATGCAATTTTAACATTCTTGCTTGTTCTTCGAATTGAACTTAATTCTGAGCTAAAATTAACAAGTTTTCCGGTTCTGTCGTTCTTTAGAAACTTGCACGCTTTAGGGTAAAAAAACGTTCCAATTTAGTCTACATAGGTGGGTTGATTTCGCCATGTGAATGAAAGCTCAGCAGAATGCTGGTAACCATGGAAACCAGTGAATAAATTGTGCGAGCTAGAAATCAACCTGTCTATTCTCGCATCGAATCAGATTGATGCCGATGTAACTCTAAACTTGTTTATTGTTGCAGAGTAACTGTGTCAATACGGTCTGATACTAATGTGTTTTCATAATACTGTAAAATACTTTATTTTAGATGGAATTAATTTTCGCTGAAAAGACTTTTTGGGTGTTTTGTATGGAATTTATTTTCACTGATTTTTGATGAGTTTAATGTGAAATATAGGAAAAAATTTATGTTCACTGGATTTTATTTTCACAGAATCATTCCTTCAGTGAAAATTATTTCCAAATGAAAATAAAGTATTCCACAGTAGTCTTCTCTCCCTTTATTGCATGTAAACTTCTAAATTAACATCATTTTGTTTTGTTTTGCAAGATTGAACAATTATGCGTACTTACTTCAAACTTTTGGCCGTGCAGGTCATAGCTCCAAAAATGGTGTTTCAGCTCGCTTGTTGCTTGAGTTACAGTTATACGATTATTATCATAATTTTGTGTTTATATTTAGTTACTTATTAACAGCTATGTTTGCCCATTTTGTTTGCATTAAAAATTAATTTCCAGAACTTTCCCCTCATACTATGAATAACAATGTAGCCTTCTGAATACCAACGTCAACATGTTTCACCTTTCAAAAAATAATTTTTTTAATAATTTTCAAATAATTTCGATTGTGATGAATAACCAATCAAAAATTATGTCTTTTTGGTCAAAAATTAATAAAAAAATTAAAGAAAAATGCATAAAAATGTTTGGTTTGTAAATTGACGGTGTTCAAACGGTTAGTAACTAATGTTGCATGTATTTCATTCCCATTCATTTTAATTTATGCATGTCCCAAAGCAGACCGTGGTTCAAGTAGTCGACCGCTTCTCAACATTACCGTTAAGAGTATCCGACACCGTTGATTCCAGTCCCGCCATGCGAGGAATTCATCCGCAATATTCAACTTATCACCCACGTCATGTATGTATTAAAGCACCAATCACAGCATGCTATTTATCTAGGTGCGCGTTGTGTCGCTCAAACGAACGAAAATCGTCACTGAGGCGATGCGATATGAAATGTATTTGATAGTTAACCATTTCACCACCAGTCTCTCCTTTTCATTACAAATTCACAACACAGGCGCTTTATCGTCTGCACTTTCCTTAGAAGATTGGGACAAAAAATAGCCACATTTTTTTGAGTAAAAACCGAAAATTAACTAAAATCTTGTCTGTTGGCTCCAAAATTAGGATTCATTTCCAGAAATATTAAAGAATACGAAAAAGAAATGCAAAATTTGGATGAAAAGTCTGCTGGTGAAATGGTTAAATAAATCACTTCAGCTACTGACGATTATAGCTGCTATAAATAAAACATTTTTGATATCATCATGGTCGCTGCATGTTTCTTGAAATGTCTTCAGATTACAAAATATCGCCTTTCCATATATCCTGTTTAGGGTTATATAATGAATTGTTCATTCATTGTACTGCTATGTATTAAAGCAACTTTCATTCTGTTATTATTTTGATCTTAGACAAAAATGGCTACTGAGATCTCTTTGAGAACGAGAGAACCATGCGACTTCTTCTTGCTGTTTAAATATTGTTCCATTTCATGGTTACCTAGATCAATGGAGCAGTAGACAACGATCGGCATAAGAGAATTGAACACTTTTTGAAAGGAGGGCAAAACAAGTTAGGTAGTTCTGTTGCCATCAATGAGATCTCAGCGGCCATTTTTGTTGTATTTGTACAGAAACTACACAATACGATTATTTATTCAATGGTACACTGTGTTTTTTCACTAATCTTCCACAAAATGTGCATACAAGTCTAGTATTAATTCCCCTCCCCCTAATCCAAATGGTCTTGTAGGCTTACTTTTAATAGGTCGCAGCGGTTCAGCTGTTTGCTAAGTACGACACCCTAATCCACACCCAAGTCATCTGCAATGAATTGCAATTTAAATTATGACCTTCATGTTACTGCTCCAATTTTCACCATAGAGGGCATGCTTTCTTCATTTAAATCCCTCTAAAAAATGAGCACAAATATTCCAGAAAATATTTTTTGTAGAATTTTTTTTAAATATTATTTTAAAGTGAAATTAGTAATAGAAAGCATTTAGTATGAAACACCAAAATCACTTCTATCACTCTGTCTATAGTGGTTATTTGAAGACTGTAAACGCTTTCCATCATACTAAACTGGTCACCAAATTTAACAACTGCTTTCTTGATTTTACAATACAATCTGAATGAGCTACGGCAAGCCGAAAAAGGTATTGATTACATACAGCGCCACCAGTGGCTGTTCCTGGCTCCATGCATCAAGGAAAAGAATAAACACTTTTAGAAAGGGCAAAAGTAATTCTTGTTGTTTTCTTGCTTTCAATGACATTTCCATCTAAGGTGTATTGAAAGAAAATGCATTCTGGGAAGTTTTGAAGCTTAGCAACGCTTTGTGAAAAGTAGTCGTTCAATATGGTAGATAACTTCATGTACATGTGGTATATGGCGTAACCGGTCACCCAATCATAGATTGATTCAGCGCTCCAAACTGGCAAAATTATGTTATCTAAACAAATTTTTTGTTCTTTTTGTCCATTTTATTCATGTCCATTCATTTCATTGATGTTTTTCGATTGTTCATTTCATTCATTCATTTGTTATTTTCATTCATGTTCATTCATTTCATTGATGTTTTTCACTTGTCCATTTTATTCATTTGTTCATTTTGTCCATTTCATTCATTTCATTGATGTTTTTCACTTGTCCATTTTTCATTTGTTCATTTTGTCCATTTTCATTTATGTTCATTGATGTTTTTCACTTGTCCATTTTTCATTTGTTCATTTTGTCCATTTTCATTTATGTTCATTGATGTTTTTCACTTGTCTATTTTATTCATTTTGTCCATTTCATTCATGTTTTTCACTTGTCCATTTTATTAGCGCTGCTGTCGACTTTGTCGAGCGAAGCTTATCATATGAGTGATTGTCCAGCAGCGGCGTCGTCGTCGTCCATGTCAATGTTTTACTTTTTCAACTTCTTCTTGAATTCTTCTTGAAAACTAGAAGCCTGAATGCTTTGATACTTGGTGCATAT